ATAGGTAAGGATTGAATAGTTAATTCCCTTCTTCCTTTGTATCAATAGTAAATCCAATGTTTAGGTGTGAAACTTTAAAATTAATTAAAATGCACTGGTTTTTGTAGAATCAATTATTTGATAGTTATAAATTGGACTGGGGTCTACGTATTGGCTCAAGAAATTTTGAGGTGAGTTGATATAACCCTTTACAAAAGTAGTTTAACTCACAAAAGCACGCATATAAAGTGTTTGATGAATTGTTTAAAAAAGTTTATATTTACTTAATTGAAGCGAGTGAGTACCTATTAACTTAGAATTGTTCTAGCAAAAGTTTAGATGATTTATTATGATATATGTGCATAAATTTTCAGATTTTTGTGTTATTCTTATATGCTATTTTTATGTTAAAAATTTATGAAGAAGCAAGAATCTTTAAAAACACTTTTACATGTTTATTTTATTTTTATGCCATGCTTTACATTTAAGGATATCAGCATGAGCATGTACATGATGTTCTATAAAGAGACTTGAAAAGTCACAAGAAGAAGATTTAGAAATAAAAGATTTTTGGGAGTATCCTTTATTCTGAGAAGGGGTCATCGTCTAGGCCGAGGGTCTTGACCAAGGCGTTGACTTCCTGAAACTGCTTGTGCCAAAGTAGGGAGCATACGAGCCGAGGGTCTCGTTGCTGAGAATTTACTTAGCCAAGCTAAGATATGATACATGAGCGCTGAGAACCAGGAAGCGAGTGGCACCTCATGGATTGAGCCTATTCGATTAGGTTGGGATCGAACCAGTGACTGAGACAGAATTAAGTCAGGATAGTTGGAACTCCCAAAGTATAAAGTGAAGTATTTTTTTCTATAAGAAAGAAAAAGAAAAGAATTTCTTTTAGAATATTCATAAACTGTTATTATGTAATTATTTAGAATTATTCTTATAAGCTTTATGTTTTACATGCATTTAGAACCTTTGCTCATAATGTATATGTTATTAAAGTTTTGTCCCCTGTTGTTGAGACTCACTGAGTACAATCGATGGTACTGACGTTCTCTTTTGGGAACCTACGTTGGTCTGCGGTACAACGTAGGAACCGGAATTGCAGGCGAGCAGGCTACGAGTTAGGACTTCCTTCTCTTCCAGTGCTATTGGTGAGCTCCGCTTTTGTTCGTGGAGTATTCCTTAGAGTTATCTTTATTTAGTTATTTCTTTGTTACTTAGAGAACTGGCCAGGAAATCTCATGTCCTGAGCAGTGCGTCAGTTTATCAGTAGAGGCTTCATAAACATAGTCGTTGGGTTAAGATTCAGTTATTTTTTATAATAACTTAGCAGCATTTCATTGGTTACTATGAATAAAGTTTTGGAGTTGATTTATTTAAATGTTTAAGTTAATCAAAAGTATTTGGTTAGAGTATTGCCTTGTTGCATATAAAGTTTGGAGTTATAATAGATTTGATAAGCAGAGATGGTTCGCTCGGTCATGTTTAGTGATCGAGTGCCGATCCCGGCTTGTTCAGAAAATGGGTCGTGACATCTGACACTCTGAAATATAAAAGCAATATAACGCCTTTTCTTTAGTTCATATTCTTGTTCATCAACTTGTTATATTTTAACTATTCTTGCACATATCAGTTCGAGGGTATTCAAGCTCGAGGACTGAATTTCGTTCAAACACTGATTTGCTTTATCCTATTGTTAATTTCTATTACTAATCTTTACATTTATCAATTGGTATTAGGTGAAATCATGTGTCCTTAGAGCCATATTACAAGTTTAATTGTATCCGATTTTAAGGGTAAACAGTGATGCATATGAAAATGTAGGAATCAGGAGCGGATCTATGTAGGTGGATGGGGGTGCCATGCCACCCGGACGCCTCGGTTAAACTTTGTGTATATATGTCCAAGAAATAGGATAAATACTAGTTGTGCCACCTAGTGTAATAAAACAACACAAGGTGTTAGTGGTGAAGAGTTAGTTTTGGCTCGCAAGAGGCGTGGGTTCGAATCCGACCCTGTACATCTTTAAATATCCTTTGAGCACGTTGCACTTACGCTCAATTCAACCTAATAAAGATAGTTTCCTGCTGTTTTAGTTAATTGCTGCTTCTTAGCGTGTTGGTTAGAAGCTTAACTTCACTTTTACTAGTCAAAGGTTCGAACCACGAGTTATCTTTTGACAAACTTAGATAATTTTTTTGACATATATTTAAGTGAGCTTCTATTGTTAAAAAGTTTTTATTAGGTAGAGTTGAACTCAACATCTCTTCTAACTAGGGGTGTTCATGGTTCGGTTTGGATCAGTTTTTTCCAAAAAGGAAACCAAACCAAGTAAGTCGGTTTTTTAAATATTAGAACCAAACCAAACCAATTAAGTCGGTTTTTTCTCGATTCGGTTTTTGTCGGTTTTTCGGTTTTTTCGGTTATTTGTCGATTTTTTCTTAAATATAAGACATACACTACCAAACACACATTTCGGCGACCACATTTTCAACGTAACACTATCAAATCAATTGCCCTTTGAGAAATCTATTATTTACCAAGATATATTGATGATAATTGAATCAAATAGTGATGAATAATTTAAGGACTCAATTAAAAATATACTTATTTTTAACATGAAATAGATTCTTACATTTAACAAAAGAAAAATACCAATTAAACTAGAATGTAAAGGTAAAGAACTGTATTAAATGTGCCAACGATTAATATTTACTATAAAATTTAAAACTTTGTATAAAGGTATACATATATATAGGTGTAACAATAAATTTAAAATAGCTACTCCTATATTCGGTTTGGTTCAATTTTTTTTAATTAAAACCAAATCCAAACCAAATTTGATCGGTTTTTAAATTTCAAAACCAAAACCAAAACCAAACCAAAAAGTATCGGATTTTTTGGTCGGTTTGATTTGGTTTTCGGCTTGGTTCGGGTTTTCGGATTTTTATGAACACCCTTACTTCTAACTTAGACTCAACTAAACCAAAGAGGTAAGGCTCTTCATTGTCTACTTAATTTCTGATAAACTTTATTTATTGCTTCTCTTTTATAAATACCGACATTGCTTACTCAAAATTCTATATGCTACTGTTCCAAGTAGTGTGACACTCGTTACCACCAAATCCTGGATTTACCTCTGATAGTGGTAGGAATCCTTCTCTTTATTTATCGGAGTTATATTTGCCGTAATCTGACGTTTAATCAATGAAATTCGAATTTGCAAAAATACTATTTGAGTTATGATATTATTGAAAATTAGACATAGTACGTAGGACTTTTTCCAAAATTTNTATATATATACTTCTGCACTCGATGTCTTAGGTATTGGTTGATTTTTCAGGAAAGGCATTATTTAACAAATTATTGGTTTCTCTTTTTGGAGAAAGGGAAAAACTATTAGTTTTGACTTGTCTCTTTGACAAATATAAAGCCCAATATCGTTCGATGCCGTTTTATCTAAGGTTTTTAGAAAATATCTCCTAAATATAATTTTGCTGTTTTAAATAGTATTATTATTTTTCCTGCAAAAGTTCAAAAATATTTAGCTTTCTGTTTATTTTTGGTGTGTACGAGTAGTGATGATTCTGCTCTCAAAGAACAGTTGCAAATCATTTCTTGACTTGCTTCGTTTGAGATGATCTAACAATTGTCTTGTTGTCACTTGATTTTGTTATAATCAACAAATTTGGTTTGGTTTCATTTTAAACAAAAATGTATTGAACAGATCAAGTAGCAGTCAACCGATCAAGACTATAGGACGTAATATCTGTGTTTGACTATAGGACGTAGTGTCTATGTTTTGACACTCCTTCACTGAAAAATGTAAAAAATAAATAATAATAATTATATATATACACTATATATTGACTCCCCTTAGCTTCTTCTTCGGTTTACTTCGACACCCCTATCCTTGCTTCGTTACTAGTAGGAAATGTTGTATCCTTGACACATTCATTCTATTGAAGCTAAACCTACAAAGCTCAAAAGACTAACATTTATTGCTTTCTTAATATCAAGTATTCCTAGTAAAGAATGGGAATCTAGCTAAATAGCTTAACTCAAAAAATTTCCTAAGAACAAAGAAGGAGAGAGAGGCTTTCATGAGAAAACATAACAAAGAGAAAAGAGAGGAGAACAGTCGGGTGCAGTATACGCAGTCACTAGAAACGAAGAGGTACAGAATGACAAACAACGACAAACCTAGTTTAATCCCATACGTGTGGGGGTCTAGGGAGGGTAAAGTATACGCAGACCTTACACCTACCCTATAAAGGTAGAGAGGTTGTTTTCGATAGACCCTTAGTTCAACGAACAGTAAAAATAAAGCAACAAGCAGTAACAGCAGCAAGAGGAGGTACAGAATGAACCAACTGCAAATATACACATGCGCGCATGTGCAAATATATGTGTGTGGTGTATGTACAAGCAGGCACTGAGTCTAGAAACAGATGCAGATTCTGGTGCACCATTTGGTAGCAAAATCTTTGAATCTGCAAAGGAAAAGCTGGGGCAGATGGGAGTTGATGGGAGCTACTGCTGGTTTAGAGCTTTGGCTGCTTCAAACAGAATAGTTTCGGAAAGCTCACCTTTTTCAAAAGCCACATTTGGATGCATAAGAGAGCATAGAAGGAAATATATCTCTTTTTTATAATGACATAGAAGAAAATATATGTAGATCAAGGGACGTCCTAAGTGAAATACTGAACTAAACAAAGTACAAGTGGCGACATGATGCTTCCAAATATTCGTTACTCTTCCCGTTTCTAGTCCAAATAAGATCTTCAGAATCAATAAATGTGCATGTATGAGAAAATAGTGTTTAATGATTTCATCCACATATGAACTGCTACAGGCCACAAATATAAACGTAAAACCAAGATCAAGAAAGGAAAGATGATAACTTCAGCAGTATCTCATAACTTTAACAAATGTATAGGAAACAGTTAGCGCACAGAAATGCTTAAATATAAGTTCAGTCTAGTTCTTAACTTCTGATGATTAGAAGGCACACAAGATTCATATTCTAAATGATTTCAGGTGGTAGAAGTTTGGACAATCGCCGAGAGTAAAGCCAAACACAACTTTCTTAACAAAGCGATGCAGTTAATTTTAGAGAAAAACACTAGGAGAATATAAAACAAGTGACTAACAAGTTGGCTGAAGCATTGAGCTGTAAAACATTTTTATAACATTTTACAACAGAAGGGGGCGATGACATACATGTTGCCTCAAAACTTGGAGATCTCCGATGATTAATAGCTAATGATACCGAGCAGCATCAATCTGATCTCTTCCCCGCGGTCTATCTATGCTGAGAGGTGCAGAATTAAAAGAAATATTGGGCTTCTTACTGTCTATCTCGAGCTCCTTACGTTTCAGTTGCAACGACATATGCTCATTCTCCAAAATTAATTTCTCATTCTCCAGCCTTTCTATTTCAAGCTCCCTATCTTTCTTCCGGCAGAATCTTTGCCACTTAAACTGACGTTTCTCCAACTCGAGGGCTTCAGCTTGGATGCCAATCTTTTCCTCTTCTAGTTGTAGCATCCGTTTCTTAATCCACATTTTCTGTTCCCACCTCGATTTCGTAGGGTCTTGAAAAAATTCATTAATTTCAGCAATAAAACTATCATTCCCACTAGTATGTGGCAAGAAGTTGCCATTTTCTTCAACTCGTCTCATTCTCTCATCAACACCGTGGTTATCTTCTTCATCGTCCGATTCATCATCATCATCATCACTTTCATTATTTTCTTCAGCTTCGTCTCCCTGGGAGCCGTTATTATCTTTTGCACACTGTGCCGCAACAGGTGAAGAGTGAACAGGAAATTCAAGATCATTGCAATCAGGTATCTTTTGTCCATTGTGGTAAGCGCACATCTCTCTATAAAACAAATGCTTTGAGTTAAGTATCTTCTTCACAGTGTCCTTGGCCTTAGCAGAAAGCTGCGGCATGGAATCCATTAGAGCCGGATTTTCCACCACTGCACAAGAAGTACCCCTTCCGAGAATATCATTCAATTTCTTGTACCTCTTGTTCAAATCATTAAACTTATCCTCGCACTGCTGTGGCGAGACATGACAACCATTAGTCATCATTATTCGCGACACCGTTTTCCATTTACCCTTCTTCTGAACACACCCCGATTTTCTTTTCAACCCCTCAGTACCCTCTAAACTGCCATCATCTCCGACACATGCAACTACTTGTATAAGAAGCCGAACAACATTATCAGTCCATTTCATTCTTTGCCACGGAGATCCCTTTTTCCCCAACGCCCCACCATTGTTATCGCCATTTCCATCCTCCGTGAAACTAGGCTCATCCTCATCGCTCGTATTGTTATTATGATTAATATTACTACTATTCACAACATTACTCGGCCCAACAGCTTTATCCTTCCCAAATGGCATACAACTCTTGACATCCATCAGACCAATTTGTTTATCATTTTCAAGCCCCAATTTCGTACTCATCAACGATTGTACGTTATTGTGATTAGTCTGATGACCATGAGCTGGATTATTACTATTCGATTGAGGCTGTTGTAGCCTATTCATACCCAAAAATCCACCATTATAACCTGATAAAAAACCACCACCCATACCAGAACTATTCATTTTCTCCAAAAACCCCAACTTCACAACTAAAAATCAAACATTTCAGTCCTAAAAACACATTCTTGAAATACCCAAAATACTAAACTTAAAGACAGCTAACTCCCACAAGTCATAACAATCCAACATATCAACTATTAAGTCAACTCAATCTATCAATCATAAAACACCAGAAAAATTGAATCTTGAACCATAAGATAATATCCATGAAAAATTGAGCACCAATTTAGCTAAATAATAATATATACAAAGAACCCATTTTTGGGGCTACCAAAATCTTGTTAAAATCAAATCTTTAACATACCCATAAAGCTAAAACAGGTAAAAAATATATATACCAAGAAAAGAGTAGCAATACTTGAACCTTAGAGAAAGTTACAAACTTTTTTACCTCTTCATTGATCTGACTATGGATTCTTGGTAGAGAGAGAAGGTGGGTGCCGCG